CCGCTGTTTTTGGCATTTCCTAAAACGTTTCGTTTCGCAGATGTGCGAGGCGGAGTGCACCGGCAACACGTACTTCGGCATGCAGTACGGGACGGAGGTAAGAGGTGGCTCCTGGCAATGCAGCCACGCCAAACGCAAAGTTGTGACCTTGCAATACAGCCACGCCAAACATTAAGTTGATGTACGCCACTCTCTCACATCCTATTTCTCGTTCCTAATCTTGGACAACGTTTGGTGATGACTGTTTGTTACAGTGAAGGCCTACCTGGTACTTGTAGAGTCCCTCGTGCAGAAACATTCGATACCAATTTACCTTGTCAAGAATCTGACTGAGATATATGGGTGAATGTTGGTGGCCTCAAACGTTCGACTTGAAGCGTCTGCCACTGTTGTTACTTTCCACCTCCCAAACCCGAAATTTTAAACAAGCCGTGCAGATTCATCAACTGAAACTGACAGCCAAGAATTGTTGAGAGCCCTTACGAGAGGAAATATCGTCGCTTGACCCAACTTTACAACGATCGACACGAAAATAACAGCGGAATGTTCGTTTGCTTGCGTCGTGTCGCTTGGCCGTCAACCTCTCTAGTGCTTCTGCGGTGGAGAGTCGACCGACCTCTTGCAGCATGGGGAGTCAACTGCTTGCAACTACGAGTGCCCGGGGGACTCGGACCAAGTGTGCGGAGGATTCTACGCCATGAGCGTGTACTCCTACTCGTAACATGATCCCACCACGTATGTTCGTGTGCTGGCTTCGCGTCAGCATTGGTGCACTAGAGTATTGTGTACCAAGTTGCGGCCGAGACCTTGGCAAGTCTCCTCCGATACATTTCGTGGCGGAGACAGAGGAGACGGTCGAAAACGTCGCAGGCGCCAGAAGCGATATGTATTTTTTGTTCCAAAGTTCGTTGTCCACCCTGCCAAATCTTTGCATCGCTCAACGCCAATTGTGGTCGTGGGATCAAAGGTGGCATATTGCCTGATTGTGATGGCTTGATCGACCGCCTATTGCAACGACAGTAGCACTCGGTTCATGAACGTGAGGGCTTAACCTTCTCGAAAGAACTTGAACCCCACCCTATTATAGAATAAACCCTATCATAAAGTCGTCATCGTCCCCGTTGGTTTGCCCAAGGGGGGGAAAGCAGCTCGGTGCGTTTGTTCCCCCCTCCAGGAGCTGGCCACTGTTGATGAAAGACTAGGGTGCTCAGCGTGGTTGTACGTCTCTATTCGAAGAAGCGGGATTCTGCGGGCCGTGATTGTAGCTCTAGTCTAATCTAGACTAATCTTGCAATCATGCGACGTGGTAGCATTTTTCTACTGGTCACCGTTGGCGAACTGACTGGCTGAGTGGTTGCCATCTGGCCTTGGCGTTGATGCTTGTTTTTGGGTGGCGGTTGTACTTAACCTTGTCTGTTTCTCTGCAGTACATGCCGTGGAACTCGTGTTCCAGATTAGATCTAGACAACGCCACGAGATCCGTATACTAGTTGGTGTAAGGTTTGGACGTGATGATGGAAGACCTTACTGGATTGATCAAGTCGTGTTCGTTTCTGTATACTCTTCTTGGATATGTTTGTTCTCCTTTAGAGGAAGACATACTGTAGTGCAGGTACCATATAACCTTCATTTCGTACATAGATGCGTTTAAGTCGCGATTACACATCGCTTGGCAACCGGAGAAAAAATATGTTTCTTTGGTTATGGGTTTGTGCCGCAATCATGTTTCGAGGGTTGTTCATGAAGGAGGGCTGGCCAGCATTCAGAATTGGCCCGTAGATCTCGCGAGGAGTGATTTCACGCGAGACGAGAAACGGATGGACGTAGGCATGTATGTAGTCTACAGTAGCCGAGGGGTTGGTACTGATGTAGTCGCCGAAGTCGATATATAGTCAATAGTCTTCGGATTGGGGGGGCTTCCACCCTGCCTGGCGGCTGGAGGCAATGTTTCTCAAAGAGTGATCTAGAGAGCAGGAAGGTGGAAGTCTGATGCGAACAAACTGTACACAGTAAACATCACGGAAGACTCGCGAATGGTATCGTATGCTTGGAGACAAAGACAAGGGAGTGGAGCGGCCGACGGGAGAAGGCACGGTGTGGGGTAGGCGTATGAAGAGGCCAATATCACTGAACGAGTAGTGGCATTATGACCTCGAGATTGGCGAAGAAAATGATAGGGTGCTATTTTGGGGACCTAGTCATTTGAGACTACTTCGTGCAGCTAGATCAGTTCCTGCACCGAGCAAAAGAGACCTAGTGGTTGCCGCTCTGAGGAAAGAGAGATAAGCAGTTGGTATGTCTCCCTTTCCTTCGGCCGTAGAAAAATAGTGATGAAGGTAATTCGAAAGGAAAACAAGAAAGGGGAGATTTGTTGCTGGGCCAGACGGAAACAAATCAAGGTTTATTGAAGGTAGTCGAATTGTAGCGTGGTTGTAAGGTATGCAAAAATGGTCACGGAAGTACGGGGCCCCTCCCGAGCGGGAGCACGGGAGCCACTACCTCCTCGAGCACTCCGTCGAAGCTAGATGTCCACAGTCTTACGAGCACGAGTCTAGAGAGAGCAACGCACAGACAAGGAGCGAGGTGGACACTATAAAGGCTGTGATCGGTTTGCCAACTGGAAGGAGCGTCTTTTCCCGTCCACCCACTCTTGTGTTCTCCACGAAATACGGGAATCGACCGCGTCAGGTGTTGCTACCGTAGGACGAACAGATGAAGGTACTGAGTAGAGAGATCGGAACGGTTGCTTAATGTGAAGATAACAACAACAACGGCATTGTTTTGAGGTGTGACGATCCCCCCGGCAACGAAGGAAGAGGTAGGGGACATATTTTCTCCTCTGACATTCGAGTACGCGTTTACGATAGAGGTCGTTTAAGCGCGTCCCCGTTGCTCTTCTTCTATCCCGGTTTGTGAACGAAAGCTTCGTTAAGGAAACTTTTTCTTACATACTTTCTTAACAGCACCAATACTGAAGCACGCGTTACCTGGCCTCTGGTCTGTGTACTTGTTGTACATGCAGGACAAATACAAGACATCGAGCATGAAAAATATGAAAACTTGGTACATAGTCTACACCCCATTTTAGCCCTTCCCGATACGAACGCTTCATACATATTGTACATAGATCTCGACTAGTCGGAACAAAGCACACTCGAGAGATGTATCAATCTGGCACTCAAAAGGTATGAATCTGGCGTACAGACAGACCTGGTACAGATTATTGGTCCGACACACACGCAAACGATGTACTTGCGTAGCATACACAGGTAGGTACAGACAAAAAAAAATAGACGTAAAAATGGATGCAAGCCAAACACATAACGCCAAACATCTCTCCATGGTACCCTCGCGCTCTGTGGAGCGTCCAGACGGATAACACCGAACACAGCGTTAGGCCCGATCCCCATCCATAGCCGTCTTAAACCCATCGGTTGAAAGGAACCTGGTCATCAAGTTACTCTCCAACACGAACCTGATCTCTGCGTACGACTTGGTGAAGATGAACCTGCTCGCGGAGTGGGGGGAGAAACA